GATTAGCAATGACTTGGGGTAGAAGGCTGTAGCATGGTTTCTGATACATGGAGGCTTATTTGAAGACCAGTTGTTTAAGATCTTTTTGGGGAGGGCTACTTTGGACTCTAAAAAAAAAAGTAAAATATATTTGCCTTCAACAAGAATGTTTGAGTTTCTATTTTGTACCAAGAAGCTGGCCTCTGCCAACGCTTCACTATCTCACTGGAACTTTGGCAGCCTTGCCCATACACATCACTTGTTCTTGGGGACAGAAATGTCAGCAGAGGCACAAGCCTCAAAGTTCCTTCTCCAGGGAGCCTGGCCAGGGCAGGTGGGTGGGAGAGGCGTGTGGGAGGGCCTCCCGGTGCCTGGTCCTGCTGAGGCCCCGGCGGCCCTGGCAGGGGCTTACCAGAAGGTCTCGTTGTCCAGGCCCTCATCAGTCAGGTAGTTGTTCTGCAGGTACAGCTCCCGCAGGTTGCTCAGCTCACTGAAGGCACCTGGTGGGATCTTCTCCAGCTTGTTGTTCTAGGGGAGGGGTAGGGGGGAGGGGAGCAGGAGACAGCCAAGGGGCAAACGTGCTCTGAGGGCTCTGAGGGAGCCTTGGGGAGTGGGCCCAGGCCCGGAGCACTCTGACAGCCAGGTGCCCAGGCTTCTGCCTGCTTCTCTACAGTGGATGCCATGCCCTCTGGCATGTACTAAAGGCCCCACAGCCTCGCCACGTGGGTTCTTCCCCCACTCTGGCCCCTGCTCTGAGGGCCCCATCTGCCCTCTACCTCCTACCTTGAGGTGCAGCTTATAGAGGGCCGGCGGCAGGTGCTTGGGCACATGGCGCAGGAAGTTGCTGGACAGAATAAGGATCTCGACGTTGCTGGAACCGTTGAACATGTTGTCTGGTAGCCCGGCGTCTGCCAGCTTGTTGTTGTGCAGGTACACGGACCTGGGGGTGAGGTGCAGGTCCTCACCCACGCAGGCCCCCCACTCCACCCCTGGCCACAGTGCCCACTCACCTAACCTTGCTCAGGTGGGGCCTGGGGCCTAGGGCACCTTCCTTCCATCTGAGGAACCTGAGACTCAACCTAATGTAGTCTCCCCCACCCCCACCCCCACCCCCGCCCCTCGGGTACAGCTCAGGGGACCAAGGACCACCAGCGGTTGCCCCACAAGTTAGTGGCAGGAATAGGATTTCCTGACTCCCAGTCCATCTTCCCCATACCCTTCAAGCTTCTCAGTCGTTCCCCGCCTGTCACACCCACACAGCTGGCTCTGAGTTCCGTGGGACCTCCTGAAGGTGGGGCGTGTCCCTGACACCTCTTGTCCCTGATGCTCAGCACAGGGCTTAGCTCAGAGGGGGTGATGCCTCATTCATTCAGTGAGTATACAGTGAGTGTCCCCACATGCCAGGAATGTTCTAGACTCTGAAGATATAGCAGTGGACACCACCAACAAGATCCTGCCTTCATGGAGGTTACGTAACTAGAGGGCCAGAAGACCAGGACCAAAAGGAATACACAGAAGATACAGCTCATTCTTGCTGTGTGCCTCTCTTGGGCCTCAGCCTTCTCATCTGCGGGATGGGGCCACACACAGTGACCCTGGCTCCTCAGGGGAATGGACAGAATCGAGTGAGGTGACAGATTCAGGTACAGAAGCGATACCAGGAGTGTCAGTCCACCAGCACCACCCTGCCCTGCTCATTCCTCCCAAGGCTCTGCCCCCAGGGGCTGAGGAAGGAGGGAGGCACCCTTACCCAGCTCCCACTGCTCCACAGACATCACCCTCCTCCATCTTGCCTCCTCATCCTTTAGGTCTCGGCCTGTGGAGCCCGTGCCCCTGCAGCCCCTGGCGTCTCTCACCACAGCCCTGAGCATGGGCCTCATGCCCACACTGCCCCGCATGGCCCTCCTCCAGGGCCCATCAGGGTCCTCTCTGCCTCAGTCAGGGGAGCAGCCTCTGCTCAGCTCCTCCCTCTCCCCAGCCTGAGCCCAGGGACCCCTCTGACCTCTGACCTCAAGTTTGGCTTCTGGCCAAAGGTGAGCCCGTAGATCTTGGTGAGATAGTTGGCAGCGAAGTCCACACTGATCAGGGTATTTGGCAGGAATCGGGGTGCCAAGGTCAGCTGGAAAGGGAAGAGAGAGGGCAGAAAGGCCGATGGAGGGGAGGCGGTCAGCTCTGGGTCCCACTGCCTGCTGCCATTCAGGCCCCTTCACTTGTCTCCTCCCAGCAACCACAGCTACCTTTCTATAGTGGAAACCCGTCTCCTTCCTCTGATAACACTAACACAGGCCCTCCACAGCACCCCACGGCCCCGAGCGTGGCATTCAAAGCTCACCAGCCTGTCCCCTGCCCTGCCTGTCCTGTTCTCTCCCCTCACTGGCCCCCGACACTGGCTGTGAGCACCCACACGTTCCCAGACACAGCCCACGATGCCCACCCTTCATTCATTCAACAGTAGAACCTGAGTCTACAACATTCCAGGCACGGTTCCAGGAGCTTGCTGGGCACATCCGGGGCAACAAGACAGAGAAGTACCTCTGCCCCCCACCCTACCCCACCCCAAACTTATATCCTCATCCTCATGGAGAAGACAATAAACAGGGGATAAAAGTATCTGATAATGATCACTGCTATGCAGGGAATTCTAACAGGCTGAAGACAGAATGACTGGGTTGGGTGCTCAGGGAACAGGTGACAGACCCTTAAGGCATGGCACACTGTAAGTGCCATCTGAGAGGAGGGCTCCCAAGGCAGCAGAGCAGCATGCAAACCCCGCGTGGAGGGTGGGGCTGCAGGGCCCCGGGGCTGGCGAGGAGCAGGAGGGAGTGAGTAGGGCTATGTTAAGAGAAGCAGGGGGAAGCAGGCTTTCATTCTGGGTGGAAGGCAAAGCCACTGGAGGGTTTAAGCAGGGAGGGGGGATGTAGGGGAGAAGCAGGGCACGATTTTTAAAGGTCACTGTGGCTGCTCTGAGAAGGGGCAGCGAAGGGGGAGGCAGGGTTGGCCAGTTGGGAGATAGTGGGGGAAGGGGAGGGGGGCTGCAGTGCTGCTGGACAAGGTGAATGAAGCCCTCGGGCTTTGCACTCAGACTAGCAGTGCTGTGAGTGGTTGAGACGCCCTTTCACAGAGATGGAGAGCCATCTGTGGACAGGAAGCAGTCCTACTTCCATTAGACCTCTGGGGAGACGTCCAGGGGGCAGAAGGATCTTTGAGGCCCAAATGGGAGGAGGGGGAGGGGCTGGAGACTGCACTGGACCAGGCAATTATGGAGAGTTCAGAGAGAAGGGCCAGGACAGAGCTCTGGGCGCTCCAGATATATTGAGGCTGAGTGTCTTTGTGCCTTTTCTCATGCTGTCCCTCTACTTCAGGACCCCTGCCTGACCCTTCATGGTCCTTTAAATGCTATCTCCTCCACAAAGCCCTAGAAGTGTACCAGCCCCGCTATCACCCCACCCCCTTGGCTTCTGTCTTTATTAACTGACCACTCTGACGCCCCCGGTTAAGGTGTGGGGTATGGGCCATGTCTCAGCAGCAACAGGGACCTGAAGAAGTCCTGGTGAAAGCTCCCTGAACTCAGCCTCTGACACCAGGGGGTGTGGGCAGCACACCTCCTCCCTGCTGAGGCCCCTCACCTTGTTATTGGCCAGGTACAGGTAATTGAGGTCGGTCAGATGCTCAAACGCCTCCTCGGGGAGCCCTTCAAAGGACAGGCATCGGTCAGAGCCCTGGATGAAGGAGACGCTACAGGGGAGCACACCAGCACCAGCCCCCAAGCCCACCCACTTGCCAGGACTGGGAAGGGCGCGCCCCGAGGCCGGTGAGGCTCTGCTCTCGTCCCAGCCAGTCCCAACAGGCCTTCCCAGCCCCTCAGAGAAGCAGGTGGAAAGTGTCTACTGAGGCATGAGCCACCGGGTGGGAATGGGTGCCCCCCGGAAGGTCAGGCCATGGGATGGAGGACCCAGACTAACATTTTCCAAGTCAGGAAGGAGTGCTCCCTGGGGGCAGCCCCACAGGATCAAAAGCAGGACACGGTTTCAGCCTCGGAGCCTCCCCACCACCTGCCTGCCCCTGCCCCATGGAGTGTCAGGACTCGCCGTCACTGGGATCCCAGCCAGGCTGGCCCTTCTCCAGTCCCGAGGCTCCCAGACCCTCAGATGCTGGGACTCACCCAATTATCTAACGGGAGGGAACAGTTACGTAAACTGTGCAGCATCCCTCCATGGAAGAGCGGCCGTGTAAAGATGGCCACGGAGAGTTTTAGCAACAGGAGGAATGCGGCTGAGCTAACTGCTGAGTGAAACAAAGCGCTTACCGTCGTTGTACTGCCTACACTCTCAACTCAGCCAGGAGTGAGAAAATGCAAAGGAAAGAGACTAGACTGGATTGTGATGGTGGTTGGGCAACTGGATAAATGACTAAGAATCATCAATTTGTACCTTTTAATTGGGCAAATCTTAGGGTGTACAAATTACACTTCAATAGAGCAGCTTTTTAAAAATGGAAAGGAGTATAGCAACACGTCAATAGGGATGAACTCCAAGTGGCAGAACTGACTGGGTTTTTTATTTTCTATTTTATTTTCTTTATTTCCAAAATTTCTATCATAATAAAAATTATTTTCATCAGCAGCAAAAGAATCACTTCTTAAAACTTGAGGACTGTACAACTCTGATTCTAAAGTCCTTCTGTGACCTGAAGAGTCCACCACAAAGGTCTCTGAATCCTCTCCCGAGTCCACTCCCCGGTCCCAGACCCTCAGGGGTGGCTTTCAGGCAACATCTGGGACCCACTGCCGCCCAGCCCAGACCTGCTCTTTCCCACACCCAGGGTCCACAGGGTGGGGCTCTCCCCTGCCTGGTGCCCCGCCCCGGCTCTGGGTGACCCCTCACCTCGGGACGTCAGGCGGTTGTTCTGAAGGTTCAGAGTCTCCAGGCGATGCAGCCGGGAGAGCTCCTCCGGGTAGATCTTCTCCAGCTGGTTGTTCTGGGGGTCAGGGGTGGGAGTGGTGAGGAGGCAGCATGGGGGGCAGGCCCAACCCATCCTCAGCCCCAGTCCCTCTGTTGGGCACCTCTCTTGGGATTCTCCCCCATGGTAGACAGGCTCTGGGTGCAAGAGGCACAGCAGGGACCACAACAAACATGGGGGTCCCGCATTCTAGGAGACCACGTGGGTGTCCACAGGAGCTCAGACTTGTCCCACTGGGTGACAGCCCGTTCTCCCACAGGCCCACTTTTGGTTCCCTTTCTGGGCTGCGTCCCCCACTCCCCTGGCAGCACTTTAAAACCTGGGTGTGGTACCACCTCCTCCAGAAGCCTTCCCGGGTTGGATTGGGAGTTAGAGTAGGAGCCGCTCTGGGCTCACACTAGTCCTTCTATCTCCTTCTAGCATCCCCTCTACTTGTTTCGTTTACTGCCTCCCCCACACCTGGGAGGGCCTCGGGCAGGGTACATCCAAGTCCCCCCTATGTGCCCAGCACCCACACAGGACCAGAGGTGGAGAGCAGGTTTCCAGGAGACATTGTATGAACGGAGGAGTGCGTGAATGAGCCAAAAATAAGTGTTGTCATCAGCTTGTCCCTTTCCCTCCCACCTCTGCCAGCCCAGGCCCACAGGGCCGTGCGGTGAGCGGGTCACTTTCCCTCACTGGACCTGATCTCCTCTGGAAATGGATGTACAGCCCCTCCCTCCCCCAGGGGTTCCGGGCAGCACAGGGTGAGGGGGTGCCCCAGCACTCCCAGTCCCCATCGGGAACTCCTTGTCCCCCTTCCTAGACCTCAGCTGGAGAGAACACTGTCCTCTGAGCCGCCAGAGCCCTCTATCAGGGTCCACTTTGCTCTTGTTTTCCTGGCCTGCAAGGGTGTCTGAGGGTCAGCTGCTGGGCAGGTCTGTGTCCATTTTCAGACAAGGCCTGACTCTACGTACGGGCCTCAGCCAAGACTCCTCCCAGTGAAACAAAGCAGGTTATGTCATGTGCTCGGTGACCCAGACAATGATCAGAGGGGGGACACCTCAACGTGGAGCTAGATCCTCGTGTCTGACCTGCCCTAGCACCCCAGGCCTGGGGGTGGGGAGCCAGGAGCACTGGGGGTTCTGGACAAGCAGGGAGCGTGAGTGTGGGGGTTCTGGGATAGGAGCCGTGAGTGTGGGGCAGCCCCTGGTCACCACTGGCGCAGTGCCCATCTCACCTGCAGGGACAGGTGGTTGATATGCTCAGGCAGGTCCCCTGGGAACTCGCGCAGGTCGATACCGCCGCAGTCCACGACACCCTCCTGGGAGCAGGCACATTCTCGGGGGCAGTTCATGGTGGCTGGGCCAGGCCCCGGCTCCTCAGGCCTCAGGACCAGCACTGGCTCCTCCTCCACAAATTCGTTCTCTTCAGGGCTCAGGTTGTGGGCGCCGTTTCGGCCAAACACGGGGGCCCTCACCGCGAGCACCAGTCCCAGCTGCAGCTGTGGAGGCAACAGCAGCAGGAGCAGCAGCGCCCTGCTCCGGGCCATGGTGCCTGCAGGAGGGGTTGAGTCAGACCCACCTGGGAACCAGGGCTGACTTCACCTGTCAGGTACAGCAGGCACAGGGCTAGGGCCACAAACATCCGCATGGGGCCCTTGGGGCACGAGGCAGAGCCCACTCTGGATCCTGTCCTCAGCACGCATCTGATCTGGTGACTGCTGTTCTCACCCTCATCCCCCAAACCCCCGTCAGGGCTGCCCTCGGGAGGGATGGGGGTGAAGTGAAGGTCTGCAAAACCTCCCACAGCCCTCACCAGGCCTGGCCCAAAAGAATCTGTACCCTCCTCTACAGAAGGCCCAGGAAGCACTGTGCTGTGCAGGGCGTGGCCTGGGCTTTGCTGAGCTCTCCAGCAGGCAATGCTGGGAGGCCTGTCCCCCTGCAGCTGCCACAGGCCACGGTGGGCCGCAGGTGCCTCTCAGCTCTTCAGCTGGCCGTTCTAGGATCCTCAGATCTTGGCCTTGCCAGTCTTCCAACTCTCCCACCCACCTGCCCCAAGTATACAAGTCTATTTAGTAGTTCCTCCCTCCAGGCCTTGTTCCTTTTTCCTGGAATGCCCTCCCCTCTCTTGTGCAATCAGCAAGCTCTCCAAGAACCAATTCCAGCACTGTGTCCCCTGGGAAGACTCTGAAATGCCCCAAGGCTCTCCATTACTGTGTCCCCCCCCGCCACCCCCCCCTTGGCATGAATTGGGTTGGGTTATGAATACATAATGGTGTCTTTCTCCCACAACAGGGTAAGTCTGGGTGGAAACCCAGGCAGAGCCGGGCACAGAGTAAGCATCGGTGACTGGAGCTGCTGCTGCCTCTAGAACCTCCCAAGTCCCATTCCTGGTGTTGGACCCTCAGCTGCCCTCACCAGGGCCTGCTGTGCTCACAGGACCACTACCACCTGCAGGAGACCACTCCCAGCATGGTCCCCTGGGGCAGCAGGGAGGGGACCTAGAGGATAGCTTCAGGCCATTGAGGAAGATGCTGGTTCCATTGTCCCAACAGCCCATGGGCGGGGCTGGCCCCAGGAGTCCTCTCACTCAGAAAACCTCTCTGGGGTGGGTGATCAGTTGTGAGGGGTGGTAGCTCCTGGACACTGATGGTGGAGTCCCACCCACCCTAGTTCAAGTCACCGTCCTCCACTTCACAGCTCTGACCTCGCTGAACCTCAGCTTCCTCGTCTTAGTTAATCCACGTGAACTCACAGCTTCTGCGAGGAGTCCATAAGTAACAGCCGCAAAGCACCTGGCACCTCTCAGGTGATGTGCTGCTCTCAGTCTGCAGCGAATACAGACGCAGGTCTGCGGCAAGTATCTGGGCCTGGGGCACTGCTCCTCAGTCTGAGCCCTGAGTAGGGTCTGCCGAGATGGCGGGCCTGGGAGGTAAACTGGAAGCTTGATGAGGACACGGCTGACTGGTTAAGAAGGCGGGCTCTGGAGCCAGACAGCCGGCTGCAAGCTCAGCCCTGGCTCTTACCAGCTGTGGGGCTTTGGGCGAGTGCTGTCACCCTCTCAACCCCAGCTTACTTACCTGTCCCTGAGCTGGTAACAGGGATGTCCTAAGGGGAAGAGTGTGAGATTCAGTGGGATGAGCACACTGCATTCAGTAAGTGCTCAATAAGTGTTAGCTCTTCCCACCATGAATATCTGATCTGTGGGCCTTGTTCGCGTTTCAGCCACACCACTGCCCACTCCAGAACCCCCTGCTTCTTACCCATCCCTATTGTGCTTGTGGTCCAGTTCCAGGCCCACCTCCTCCCGGAAGATTTGAAAGGTGTGAGGAGAGAGAAGAGGGGTGGCAATCAGGCTTGCTTGACCCTAAAGGTCCCCAAGGCCTAAGCAGACTTGGGCCCCAGCCCTGGCCTGGCAGAGAACCAGGGAGCCCAGCACACACAGAGTCCTGGGCTGCAGCCTGGCCCAATGCCCACCCTACCACGTACTTGCTGCCCCCGTCCCCTGACCAAATGGACAATAAATCCTCAGCCAGTCTACAGACCATCATTCCCTTGGCACAGTATAACCGCCAGCAAGCTCAACAGCCTTCAGTCCCTGGGTCCACCAGCACTAATCTGTCTGACTCTGCTCAGAACAGGACTCTGAGAGGGGGAGGGGGGCACAGGCTCAGGCCCCAAATCCAATCAGGGCAAAAGGCCAGGGAAAGGAGGCTCTCCAGGCATCCTGTGCACTCATGGACCAGCTATTTTCCTCCTTGGGTTTTGTGTCTGTATAGGTCTGTAAACTGTATCTGTAAAAATATGTAATTCATGTTAACATTATGGGCCATATTGAAAATGTTATCATCACCACTTTATGGATGAGGGCGCTGAGGCCCAGTGGGAGTGGCCAATGTAACACAGCTGTTAAATGGCAAAGCTGAGCTCCCAGCCCAGGTTTTAACCACGATGCTATGGTTAATGCAAAATACAGCTGGGCACTGAGGACCAAGACACACCACTCAGGGTCGGCTCTGCCCTTAAGAAGCTCACCCTTGAACTCATCCAATGTGGCTGCCACATGTGGCTACTGAGCTCTTAAAATGTGACTAGTTTAAACTGAGAGGTGCTCTATGTGTAAAATGTAGTGTACATGGGTTTCAAAGACATAGTACAAAAAAATGTAAAATATCTTATTATTATTAATGATCATAAAATAGCTCATTTATCTTTTTTCTTCCTTTTTTGTTTTTTTTCCCTCACTTGAGGATATTTTTAAATTTATTTTTAAAGAGAGAAGAAGGGGGAGAGAGAGAGAGAGAGAGAGAGAGAGAGATTGATCTGTTGCCTCCCATACATGCCCTGATTGGGAATAAAATCCGAAACCTAGGTATGTGCTCTGACTAGGAATCAAACCTGTGACCTTTTGGTATATGGGATGATGCTCCAACCAACTCAGCCATCCGGCCAGGACACTCATTTATTTTTTTATTGATGACATGATAATATTTTGGACCTACTGAGTTAAGTTATTAAAATTAATTTTACCTGTTTCATTTTACTTTTTTACTGCGGCTTCTAGAAAATTGTACATTGCATATGTAGCTTGCATTTGTGGCTCATGCTATGTTTCTTTTAGACATTATGAGTAGATTGTGTGATGAAGGGAAGCTAAAGTCCATGGGAACCCAGAGGAGGCCTAACCCTGCCTGGGGCCAAGACGACTTCCCAGAAGAAGTGATGCCTCGTCATAAAAGGCAAAGGGTGATACAAGCAAGGGGTGCACAGGCCCAGGGACAAGAGAGCCCCGGTGATGACCTCTAAAAAGCTCATCGTCTGGGAGAGGGTGGAGACTGGGAGTGATGCAAGTGGACAGTGGCCACGGTCCAGGCGAAGAAGGGACTTGAGAGCCAGATTAGGGAGAGTGGCCCGTATCTGTGGGGAGAGGAGCGGTTGAAGAGGAGTGTGGTGTAGGCAGGCTTATGGATGGCCCGTGTGGAGCTTTCAGAGGCTGTGCAGGGGTGCAGGCACCAGCTGCTAAGCCTGATCTGGGCTCACAGGGAGGTGCTGGGCGGAGAGGGAGCTGGGTCTGGGGGAAAGGAAAGACAGTGCTTGAAGAGTGGTGACCCAAGTGCCACCCCTCCTCCTCCCCCCGCTTGACCGGTCACCCTAGGACCTGGGAACCCTGGGCAACTCCAGCTCCACCACCTGGTTTGCCGTGTGGCCTTGGCTGCATCACGGACTCATCAGAGTCTCAGTTTCTGGTGCTGTTGTTCTAAGAATGTTAAGCAACCTAAGTCCCCAGGCCCCTCCTAGGTGCCCCGCCGTGTTGGAGCTGTGCGTGGAAGAAGAGAGAACAGACTCCTGCGTGAAGAGTTCCCCTCACACCTCGGGAAACAGCTCACACCTTTGGGAACGCTCTGAGCTCTGTGTGGGCAATGGCAATGGGGACTCCTCATGAGGATGAAGTGACATGACATGCCCGGCTGGAGCTGGCACTCAGCAGCTGTGGCATCCACACCCGGGGTTATTGCTAGTGTACCTGGGACCCGCTGCCCCGCCACCCCAATTCTCAGTGCTCTGAAGGGCCAAGTATGGGATTAAGGCAGGAAGAAGACGGAAGGGGAGGGTAGGTCCCCAAATCAGGAGACAGAGCCTCAACCCCCAGCACCACCTCCTCCTCCACTCAAATTCAGTAAAGACTCGCTGATCCACTGCTCTGCATCAACTCCCACAGAAACCCCAAGACTAAGAAACTGAGGTGCAAGGGGTGCCCACTGCTGCCGAACCCCAGCAGAGTCCTACTCGAACGCCCCTGATCCGGGAAGCTGCTCCTGCTCGCGTGGCTGGGTTAGGGAGTTCCTCTGGGCTCCCACAGCACCCCTGGCCCACATGGAGTGGGTCTCAGGAAATGTTTGCTGAATAAAGAAATGAACTTGTGAAAGGCAGAGTTGGGAAAGATCTGCAGCATTATCTGGTCTGATTCCCTCCGTTTACAGGCAAGACCGGGACTAGAATGTGTCTTCTGACTCCTGCCAAGAGCCTTGAGCTGGTCTTGACAGCTAAGTACGAGTTCCCCAGGTGGCAAGGGGGGGGGGGGGGGAAGGCACTCCAGACAGGGGGGAGGGGCTGCGCCAAGGCACGTGTGGGGGTGGGGCGGAAGGCGGTATGCGTAAAGAGGGTCCACAGGATGCAGGTCCAGGTCTCCCAGCGCATCCGCCACTGTGCTAACGGGTTGGTGATAGGGCGCCATCAAGATTCCAGGCCGGTCATGAACAGAGCTCTTACGCATGGGCTCTGCCAGGTCTAAAGGTGCCACCACCCGTCACCTTAACCAACTCCAGGTAAAGGGACACAGTGCGCTCCCACCAGCTCCCATGAAGGCATGGGAATCTGAAATCCTCGGCTAGAGTACATTGGGCCCTGGGCCTTCAAAGGGGAATAGGCCCGCCCAGCCTTAATTTTTCCTTGGCCGCGAGGGCCGAGGGCCGAGGCACAGGGTGCGTGGCCCCGGTAGCTGGAGATGCCCACGCAGCCGCCGGCGCGCACCGCTCCCTCTGCGCCTCCCAGAGCCGGGCCGTCGGCCCCGCGCGCACACCCGCCCCGACTCCTCTTCTGAAGTTCGG